ATATATATATATATATATATATGCAACATGGAAGAAATATCCCTTTTTAAACACTACAAAAATACTGATAAATAATTTCAAATGATTACAATAAATCTCAATTTACAATGTTTAAAATCTCAGTTTTAATATTTTTGATTTACTTATCGACTCTATAACACATGTAAATGTGCATAAAAAATACATAAAATTTCTAATAAAACATATTAACGACACCACTAGAATCCATGTACTATTTGCTGTTTCATGTTTCAGAGTTTGTTAGGAGTGTTTCTACCTTTGCATTAAATTTTTTACATCCATATTTTAACAATAATTAACAAGTTTAGTGCTATTTTCTCTTTTTGCCTTATAATTTTCTATACTATTTTTAAAACTGTCTCACTGGTTTCAAAGTTTAATTGGTATTTTTTTTTACATTTAAAAAACCAAAATACCATAGAATATTCTGATATGTTCATTCTTGCAAACAATTTTATTTAAAATAATCATTACCCACTAATAAGTGCAATCGTAAGACACTTCATTTGTGTGCATTATCAACCAGAGTATAGTATGTAATATGAATATATTCATGCTATGTTATCATATCTATGATAAGGCATGGGCCGTTATAAGATCCTGATGGTATGATAACCTTGGGTAAAAATATTACGGTTTCACGATATCACGGTATTGCAATTACTGCTCTAAAATATATTCTTTTTAAATGTCTGGGTAAAAAAAAAAAAACTTTTTCCCCTTTCAACATGGTATATATTTTTTAACATTTAAAATATTTTGAAATAATAAATATCAGCAAATATTAAATGACTTCTGCTGTCTTGATTACTTTAAAACAGATTTATTTCAACTTGAAAAGGCAGTTTTGGATATCTTTATTATCTTTGGACATACTGTAAAGTAAGCCACTGCACTGTTCAGCTCTACATGCGGGATGTTGGTTTATATTTGTTTTTCAGATGTTTCCTGAATCATAGACTGGAAAAAAATGTCTTAAAAAAAACACATTAAAAAATCCTATAAAACTTACAAATGCCTTAGGAACGGTTTAACAGAAAATGTTAACGGTTTTAAAACCTTGACTTTTCAAAACTGCGGTAAACCTTAAAACCGGTTATCAACCCATGCCTATCTATGATTAAAACATGTTATGAAATAATTATAGCCTGAATTATTGATCACATTTAAACTTGATTTACAAATACATACACTCATAAATATGTAAAAAACAAAAACCAACAACAATTGTAATTATTAATAAGGAATTACTGTTTGCTGTTCTGCAATGATGCAAATTCACATGAAGCATTTACATCCTTCTCTGCACAAACTACTGGGAGTGGAGGTTAAGAGCTACTGTATTTGAAGTTTTAGGAAAACATCACAGAACTTGCAAAGCCCAAGGCAAGGAAATCAACAAGCCAAGGCATCAAACTAATTTTATTGTTAAAGAGCAAGCTATCAGCTTTCAAAGCTTTACAGGAACTTATCATAAGTCCAAGTCATTATCTAAGTAATCCCATGCCATGACATGAGGTTTAGTTTGTTAGGCAAATATGAGGTCAGATCTGCACATCTGTTAAACATGCATAATGAAACCTTTTCTGTCTCATTTATGAATGGTCACATGATACCTTCACATCATGAATTTCATAAGAAGGAACGCCATAGTCAGTAATAAGGGAGTGCCTTATTATGCTAACAGTCTGAGCTGATTTGAGCTGGGATAGCTTTCAAACTACTGGGCAGTGCCTGATGGCTTCAGGCACTAACAGACCGGTCTGATTCAGCTGAACAACCGGTCAAACCTTTAGTCCTATTAGGGAATGGATTAATGAGGGCATGGGATTACCAGGATGTGAGAAAAAGTGTAACAAATGAAGTCAAATGGAATGTTATGCTGCAAGTTTTGGAGTCATAAATCAAAAGCTGTGTTGTTTTATACTAGTACTTAAAGGATTAATTCACAACAAAAAGGAATATTTCTATTGGTACTCACACTCATGTTAGTCCAATCTCATAAGACCTTCCGCAACACTAGTTCAGATATTTTAGATGAAATCAGAGAGCTCTCTCGTCCACCAGAGACTTAAATGGTCCTGATCTCATTCAAAGCTCAGAACGGAACCAAAAATACTGAACACTCCATGTGATTTCAGAAGTTGAACTGTAAACATATGAAGCTCCATGACCAATATGACTTTGGTCATCTATATCTTCTTAAGTATTTTGATTTTGAATTAAGTAAGTTTGAATATTTAAAGATGTGTGGTGTTTTTTTAGCATGCTTTAACATGTTTTCAACTTGCTATATATGAACTTCAGCTCCAGAGCTGCTCAGAAAGTCACCTTACTAAGCATTTCTCCATTTTACATTATAAAATAATAATGATAATCATAATAATTTAGAAGAAAGAGAAATGTACAGAAATGGTCCAGACTTGTTCAAATCTCAGAAAGGAATCAAATATTTTGTCAGAACATTCTATGTGACTTCAGTGGTTCAACTGTAATCATATGAAGCTTCATGAACACTTTTGTGCACAAAATAAATAAATTAAATATGACTCTGGTCATCTGTATCTTCTTAAATATTCAAAATTTGTATAAAATAAGTTCAAATTTTTAAGGATGTGTGAATGTTTTCAATTTACTATGTATGGACATGAACTTCAGCTCCAGAGCTCCTCAGAAAGTCACTTTATTGAGCATTTTTCCATTTTATGTAAGAAAAAAGTATTGTCATATCATGTACTCACAGAAATTCAAGTGTGTTGAAGACTACCCATTAAAAAAAACTAAATATTGATGTTTTGTCATTTTTATTTTATTATTATTATTATTATTATTATTATTATTATTATTATTATTATTATTATTAACTGCTATATTATTATAATTACTGTTAGAATCACTTTATTTTAAAGAAATAATTACACAAATGTTCTTTCACATTTTAATTTGAACAAGAATAAAACAAAAAATTGGGAAAGTTATTATGAGCTTTTAAAAAATTATATCATTATTTACAAATAAATGTGTCTGCTAAACTGAATACATTTCACAGTGTTAAGTAAGTAATGTTTTATTACTAACATATTTCAACAAATTAAGAAAAAAGGAGCACATACATTTTTTTTTAAATGGGGAAATATGATATAATAAAATATGTTTGTATATTTATTAGTTGGGTTTTAAAGTAATTGCTGCCTCCTTAAATATATTCAGTAATCAAACTTTCATTTGTTTATAAGTTAGGATTGTAAACAGACACCTGAGATTCTTTAATGTTTAATCAAACCAATGTCAACAATATTTGCTTGTGTTATGCTATTACTTGCACTTTGTATGGTACAAGATGTTCAGATTAAATTAGTATTGATAAATCAAACATCTGCAATTTTTTAAAGTATGAAAGCACTTTGGAGTAGCTAGTGGTGAAATCTATGGTAACAGCAATTTTTTAGCAAGTTATTAATTACATTATTTGCATTAGTGATTGTGAAATAATGGACATTGTGTTATAAAAATTCAGTTCTTGTTTTAATCTACAGGAGAGCCAAGAGAGCTTGATGATGCAATTACAAAAAACACCAGCAAATTAAGAAAACATTTCCATTGGTTTGAAAGCATGTGTTGAAAATCCTCACAAACAAATTAAGATTAAGGGCTGCATTTTCTCTCAACACACGGAACACAATGGAAATGTTTCAAGGGGACCCTAAAATGTGATAGACCTGGCAATTTAGTTTATGGCTATTTAGGATAATAATATAAAAAAGAGAAGGAAATTGTGTAATCAGGATGTTAAAATAAACCAAAAAAAATTCAAAGATTGCATACAACTTCACTTAGCATGAGTCACGGCATAAATAACAAATTCCACAAGTCCATCATGATTTTGGAACCCCTTGAAACATTTCCGTTCTGTTCTATTTGCATGAGAAAATGCAGCATCTTTTCTGAATTTATAAGCATTGTGAGAATTTGCAACACATATTCTGTCATCTTTTCTTAATTTGCTGGTGTTTTTGTAATTGCATGTGTTTTCTTAGGAATTCAATGGCAACAGTAAAACTTTACAGTAAGTTTACATTAGTGAACGTTAGTTAATAAATAATCCATTTATTACAGTATTTACAGTTTGTTCATCTTTGTTAAGATTAGTTGATGAAAATAAAGGCACTCATTGTTAGTCATTCACAGTGCATTAATTAATGTTAACAGGCACAACCTTTGGATTTTAACGATGCATATAGTCAATACAGAATTATGATTAATAAATTTATGCTGCACAAGTATTGGTCTTAATCCATGTTAGTAAATTCATTAACCTCCAATAACTAACGCAAATTTTATTGCAAAGTGTGACCAAAGCAACAAGCTGAGATTCAGAGAGAAAGATTGAGTTGGACAGTGTGTGCCAAATAAACTGCAGAACAATCTACACCTCTCATTGTCCCTGGATTAATGGTGTCAGATTAATGCAGCAGTGCATGATCCTTTCAATGATCGACTTTTCAGTGAGAGTGCACAGCATGCATAATAAAATGAGCGATGGAAACTAGCATCAGATATTTAGTGCTGCTCATGATAAACTATGATTTAACTTTTTATATCCTATATTTGCTTTTTACAACTGTAAACAGGGATGTTCACTAATAAATGAAGACAACTATGAAGTTAAATAAGACGACAACCATAATATACATACAGTAGCATATCTTCAGTTTAACAACAAGAGAAACGCGCATAAAAAATTACTTTACAAACAATTCAAAATCATGGCATAAGCATATAAAGAGTTCACCATGTCCAAAACAACACAATTTTGACTTCTCTGAGTATTATACGTATGATACTACACTTGACACGGATCGGTTTCCTATGCATGTCTGACTCCGACGTGCGTCGAAAAGTTTGTTATCACGGCTCAACTTTTTATTCGACCATTTACAAATCATTTTCCTCTTTAGCAAGAAAGAAAAGTTGTTTACCTGTGAAAGATCGCTTCCCAGGGTTTAATTCGACCGGTCCATTATAGTACTTGAAGGCGCCTGTGCTTCAAACAGCTGAACTGTCGCAACAACTCACAAGACTGGCAGGATCATTTCACCTGAGCCTCATAGTAGCAAACTGTCAGTCAAAGCGCTGTGGGTGGAGCTAACATGCTGTAACGCTCGAGCGTCACTGATAGTGAGAGTCCCACAGCAAAGCAAACTCATGAAACTTTATGGCACTTTGTTCTTATTGACCTGTTGTCTCACTGACATGGCAGGTGAATATAGTGTAAAATTCGTTATCACTTCCCCATACTTACACATTTGATTGATTTTATAAAGGATAACAAATGTAGTCTACAAGTTTTTAAATATGCAAAGGAAGCCTTGTTTAATTAAATATGAGCTAATTTGCATGTAATTGTAGAACATAAAATCTGAACATTGATTAAACTCAGGCTCAGAATTCTTGGTCCTTCCTCTTTATTTATTTATTTATTTATTTATTTAATGTATTTTTTTTTATCATTCATTCATTCATTTTCTTGTCGGCTTTATTCCTTTATTAATCTGGGGTCGTCACAGCGGAATGAACCACCAACTTATCCAGCATATGTTTTACACAGCGGATGCCCTTCCAGCCGCAACCCATCTCTGGGAAACATCCACACACACATTCATACACTATGGACAATTTAGCTTACCCAATTCACCTGTACTGCATGTCTTTGGACTGTGGGGGAAACCGGAGCACCCAGAGGAAACCCACGCGAATGCAAGGAGAACATATGAAACTTGTTTGTTTGTTTGTTTCCTTGTTTGTTTGTTTGCTTGCTTGTTTACTTATTTATTTATTTATTTATTGTTTGTTTGTTTGTTTGCTTGTTTTTTTTTGTTTGTTTGTTTGTTTGCTTGCTTGTTTATTTGCTTGCTTGTTTGTTTATTTATTTATTTATTTGTTTGTTTGTTTGTTTGCTTGCTTGCTTGCTTGCTTGTTTGTTTGTTTGCTTGCTTGTTTATTTATTTCTCGAATTTATTTATTTATTTGACAGTTCAGTGTTTTATAAAAGGGATTTGAGAAATCTATATCCCTATATCACTCTATATACAACTGTAGACTTTGATCTTTGTAAACACAGCTGATGTGGATATTTATGGCTTCATTATGGCAAAAAACAGCATTTAAAAATAGTGATTGTAATTGTGCAAAGTGCAAGTAAAGAAACACTTAAAAGTGTAATTGGATTTATATTTAAATTACACTGAAAAAAAAGTCAATGAAAAGTCAAAGATACAAAGTTTCAAAACTCAAAAAGGTACAAACTCAAAAGGGCATCAAAATTATTTTCTTTCACTGTCTTGCTGGAAAAATATAAAAAATGTCATTACTCGGTGTATCTAATAATACTGCTGAATTCACTTACAATGTAAAAATGTATGTTATATGTTAATTGTCTAACCACATTTCCAGTTAAACACTGTAGTTTTCTAGTTTGCCTTTTCTCGGTTTTTATTTTCCCATCATTGTCTAAGTGTTGTCATCTTTTGCCTTTGCCACAGCATGCTATTTGTACCGACTGAATAGCCTAATTTGCTTGTCTATAACTCAAACCCAAATGTGGATCTTAATTATTCTAACAATTATCTTAATGAGTCACTGACACAGTTTTGAAAGCCTCCTATCAGAGTTTCATCTTAAATCACTAATAACACAAAAGCTGTAAAAAGATCTTTCTTTTCCAAAGCTATCAGATCCGAAAAGCGAACAAAGTGTCATGAATAAAATATGGCTCAAGTGTCATGAAAATATTGTAGACATAAAGTTGTATATAAATGAGGAATATATACTGCGTTTTGAAGTTTTTATATATGTGCTCATCTGTTATTTAGAGGAACTGTTGCTCACTCACTTTAGATGGTTTCATCATGAAGTCTTTGGTACAGAACATGCAAATGCATACCTCAAAATATTTGTTTATGGAAATAGTTAAACAAATGTTGCAACGTGCTGCCTTGGGGACAGTTTTTGTTCTTTTTTTAAACCACTAAAATTAGGGGAACTAAAATAAATCTATTTTAACATGGCTTAAATTTAACTTGACTCAGCGTTTGCATGACATAAAATAAAAAGTTTATTTTTAACTGCTGTGTTTACATACAGTTGGGTTTATATTACATTTGTCAAAATGGATGAATGAATGAGTGAATGCATGCATTAAATTCATAGATAGATCTCAGTCATTAAAATGCAACATTGCCTAATGTGTTAATTACAAAGAGCATATAAATGTATTCTATAAATAACCATTAAATAAAATATATGTTTATTCATATATTCAGGTGGGATTCATATTAAACTATGCAACTATTTGTATAAATGAATGAATGAATGAATGAATGAATGAATGAATGAATGAATTATTTTAGATATGAGATCTTAATCATTAAAATGCAACATTGCCTAGGGTGTACACTTTGTTAATTATAATGAGCATATAAATATATCCTTATTTAAATATATGTACAACGACAAATAAATAAATAAATGTTTATTCATACTGTTCTTGGTCAGGTAGGATTCATGTTGAAATAGGAAACTATTTGCATGAATGAATGAATGAATCAATCAATCAATCAATCAATCAATCAATCAATCAATCAATGATAGCATTGAATTCATCTAAGAGATCTCAATCATTGAAATGCAACATTGCCTAACATTTATACTGTTCTTTGTCAGCTAGGCGTTATTTTAAAGGAGGGTGTTATTTGCATGAATGAATGAATGAATGAATGAATGCATGTATGTATGTATGAATGAATGAATTAATGAATGAATGAATGAATGAATGAATGAGAGCATTGAATTCATATAAGAGAAGGGTGTCCAAACTCGGTCCTCGAGGGCTGGTGTGTCCTGCATATTTTAGTTTTAAACCCTATTAAACACACCTGAACCAGCTAATCAAGCTCTTTCAAGGTATAATAGAAACTCACAGGTAGGTGTGTTGAAGGAAGTTGGAGCTAAACTATGCAGGACACCTGCCCTCCAGGACTGAGTTTGGACACTCAATCATTGAAATGCAGCATTGCCTAATGTGTACACTTTTTTAATAAAAATGAGAATATAGATGCATTACTATAAAGAATATGCACAACAAACATCAAATAAACTACAACCATCACTAGAAACATGAATAGACGCTATATGACGTAGTGAAGTGCACAAAAATCTTTCACTTGACTAAAGATGATGCCATCTAGTGGCATAAAATAAAGAATTCACAGTTTAGTTGTGTGTAGCTATGTGCGTGGGTAGTTTTAATTTGATTGATGAAACTCGTTCACAAGTTTGTCTGAAGGAAAATATAAATCGTCTTTCAGAGTGTGTCACTGTTGAATGGAAACCGAACAATGGGACTTATCTAAACACTGCATTTCTTGTTGTATTGCAGCATTCTTAACATTTTTCTCGCGTTCCATTTGTTTTATGACATGTTAGGGATAGTTCACTGAGAAATAAAACGCACTCACCTGCAAGTTCATTCAAGGCTAAATGGTGCTTTTATCTTCTGTTGAACACAAAGATTGATAATCATTTTTAATTTTAGCCTATTTTTATTTAACCATTATTTAACTCTCTAAGATAAGAAATCTATTTTACATCTTTAAAATCTGCGTTTTTAATTCAACCAACAACAAGAGCTTCTGGAGAATTTTGTCACTTATTGTATAAATGATATAACTTTGCTACATCCTGTCTCTTCTTTTGCCACCCTTTGCACTCTGATGTGTACACAATGAATACAATGTTCCTGAGTTTGTTTGTTTATGAAAATCCACATCATATCACTTTGCCTTCTGCAAAGAACCCATATAGTGTGAATAGTTTTTTTTAAACAAAATCGAATAAAAAAAATTATCTGTGTGGAAAATATCTATAAAAATCTTTCCCCCACTAAAACTAACTTTTGAACGATGGAAATATTTATTGAACCATTTGATAATTTTGAAACCTTCACAGTATTAAATTCCCAGATTTCCAAGGCATGTTAACTGTAATTTTCACAGTAAATTACATTAGGGTCACTTTACAGGATTTAACTGTTAAAATTTATGTTTTTAGAATTTTATTGTGAAATTAAGGCTGGCATCCAGATTACAGTAAATCACTGTAAAAATGGCTTTACATTTTGCATGTTAGTTATAGGAATTCAAACACTAATAATATTTATTTAACATAGAAATTAATACACTAACGTTTATGCTAGTACATGCACTTTTTTATATTTAGAAATATTTACAGAATTATTATGAAGTACCTCACAGTAATTTACTGTGAATTTACATACAGTACCTTACTAATGGAATTATTAGCCAGTAATTTACGGTAAATTTAAGGTAATATTTTACAGTGTTGCAAAACATGTAGCGTTGGAGGCTCCAGGAACATGGCTGAGAACTACTGAACTAAACCTGCAGGCAGGATGTCACATGACATCAGATTGATGTTGTATCCCAACGTTGTGGGGACGTTGCATTCTGGGTGGAAAAATATGAAAACTGGGTTGACGTCAGAAGCACAACGTTAATGTCAAATGTCAGACAGAGGTTGGATTTTGGTCACTTTCCAACATAACCTAAAAACAATCAAATAACAATGTCTAATGGTGTTACCGCTTGATGTTGTGTGGAGGTTACCACCATGATGTCTATCAGACGATGGATTTTGGTTGCTTTACCTGACAAAAAAATGTAAGTTTTTTTGTCTATATGAGGTTGGTTTAAGATGTTGGCTGGACATTGAATTTTGCAGCTTTCCAACACAACCTGAAATCAACCAAATATCAATGTCATTTTTGGACATTAAAATAATGTTGTCCTTAGACGTTTGCTAGACATTGAATTTTGGTCACCCGATGACACAACTTAAATCCAACGTAATATTATCATATTATGACGGTGTATACCTGCTGGAAAAGTACTTACAGAACTTTTTATGTGACCGAATGCTGCAGGTAGGTTTAAATACACTTTGTCTCTCTCACTGGTCAAAGAAGTATCAAGCCAGCAGTGTTTTCCCACTAACAACAAGTGTGTAAAATACTTGTAAAATCAGAAGACAACTTTCTTCAGG